ATCCTAAGCCATTTAATGCGAGTCCCAGCATCAAGTTATTTCTTTGCTCTCTCACATTTACAAAAAATATCTATAACTAACTTTTTTCTACTTTTATTGCTAATTACGTGATTTCACCTTCACACTCTTTTAATATACTAGGTTTTCAAAATAAATTATCCCACCCATATTTACAGAATTTTTATCTATCTATACCTCTCCCAAACACACAAAACATTATTTCTCGAAAGAGAACTGGGATTAAGAAATTTCAAACCTATAATATAATTACGAAAGTATTAGCAACTGAGGTAAAAAAATAATATAATAACGATTTACACTTACCATCACAATTCATTTTCACATATTCCATTCCGCCTCATACACAAGATATTTATTTAATTTTTTCTGTGATATCGCCGTTACGATACTGCACAAAGTTTTAAGAATTCAGCACGTGAAGATGTTTAAATTTTTTGATGCACTGCGCCAGGATTTATCATTTGGCTTTGATTTAGTTTTTATGTTGAGCAAATTGAATAAGTTGAAGTTGAACTTAAAGTTTTATTAATTTCTTTTGATTTGATTTTTATATTAAATAAGTTGAATGAGCTGGAGTTGAACTTGAAGTTTTATCATTGTCTATAAGCACTATAAATAATAATTATTAAATTTTGATAATCAAATGTTAAAGGATTTATGTAATTGAATATATTTATTTATATTTAAATATTATAACTCTTTAAGCAATAATAATTCTATAATATAAAATCTGTTTAAGCAAATGAATAGAAAGATTTTAACAAGTTTTTTTTATTTAGTTTACTAAGTTTTCATTTAGACATATTAAAATATAATAAAACTTATTAAAATTCATAAGGTTTGTTAAAATTAGTAATATAAAAAAGTTTTTTTTTTAAATGAATTTTTTATAAAGGAATTTTTTTTAAAAAACAAGAAAAATTTATTTATTTTTATTTATTTAAAAAAAAACTTTTTTATTTATTTAATTAGTATAACAAATAATAAAGGTCTTTTATTATTATATTAATTCTAATTTAAAAATATTAAGTGACAAAGAAATCATTAAACTGATTAATTAATACCTATAATCAATTTTTTTTTAATTATTTAGATTAAAACATTCTAGACTAAAAATTTTTTTTTTGTATTTTGAAATTTCTTTAAATTACAAAAAATTTTTCTATTTAATACTAATAAATTAAAATAATGATAAGCATAAAACTATTATTAATTACATTTTTTTTTACTATAATTATTCATAAAAAATGCAATATAAGAAATGAATAATAATATTAAACATTTTGATAATAAATTTTACTTTAAGATTTATTATATAGCTTACATAATTTTATATAGTTTATTTATTATATATATTGTAGTTTATTCAATCAAAAGTTTATTTATATTTAGCATATATATTATTAATAAAATTACAAAATATTTTATTACATATTTTGCTATTATAAAATGTTTTTATCTTTACAGTTATGTTTAGCACTATTGGTATTATTTTGTGTCTTTTAGACTTATTTAAAATAAGAATAATGAAATACATAAAAAGGATTACTTGTGTATATATATGTCTGTTTTATAATTACATACTAAAGTATTTAAAAATACGAAATAAAAAAGAGAATACTTTAAAATATAATAATGTGAAAAGCATTATTTCACATAATAATTTTTTGAAATATACAAAAGATGTAACTTTTTATTTTAAAAATAATAATTTTTTAAAATATATAGAAGATATAACTTTTTATTCTAAAAATAATAATGTACCTTTTTATAAAATATTTTAGAATATACAAAAGGTAGTATTATCTTAAATTTTAAAGAAAAAGACTTGCTAGGTTTAATTATTGAAAAGGCTATGAGCTATATTAGATAACAGTCATGATTAGAACTCTAAATAGGTCAGTTTAGGTTAGGTTAATTAAGTTATCTAAACTAAGTGGATTAAATCAAATCAAACATAATTTAATCTAATTTAATTTTCATTTAATCTGATTTGACTTAACTGAATCGTTTTAATTGAATAATAATGAATTGTTTAAAAAAAATTATAATACTTTATTATAATAAATTATTCAAGAAGAATGATAATACATTATTATAATTGAATAATAATAAATCATTCAAAAGAATGATAATAAATCATTTAAGAAAAATAATAACTAATTGTTTTAATTTAATGATAATAAATTGTTCAAGAAGAATGATTAGTTGACCTAAATTTTATCAAATCAGATTAACCTGTTGATCTGATCTAACATTAACCTAAAAATCTATTGACCTAACTTAGATTTTTAGATCAAGTCAGATCAGGTAAATAGGTTATTCTGATCTGAATTTTTAAGTTAAGTTAGATCAGGTAAATAGATTGATCTGACCTGATTTAAAACTCTAGTTATTTCTAAATAATTTTACAAATTTACTTAATTTACATGTAAATACACATCTTTCATAACATACTTATAATTTCATTATATTTGTAAATACTGCTATTAATGTCAAAGAAATGGTACATCAAATATTTAAGAAAATGATATCACATATAAACTGTAAAGTGATAAAACTAAATATTAGCTAATAATATAATATAATGCAAGCATTACAGCATCTTATTAATAGTTAAATAGATTCTTACTTTAATTTTGAAACTAAGAATACACTTAATAATCTAACTACAGATATAAAATTTTATACTATACTAATAGGTTGTTAAACTATAGAAAATCTGTTTATAAATATTCAGAATGATGAAGATGAAAGTCATTATAAGTTTTATATTTAGTTGTTAGTTACAAAATAATGGTAAAGTCATTTTATTTACTAATTTCGGGTATTTAATTCATCTTGCTCGTTCTCGTAATATATAATGATTTTTATATTAGATATTATATCTATAGTATGTTATAATGAAAACTTTATTGCTATTTCCCTTAAAGGTAAATGAAATACTGAAAAATTCAGACACAAAGGTCTATTGAAAAAGTTAGATACAGATCATTCATTATTTTAAAACTTATATAGAGTATATGTTGATCATTTAAATTCAAGTACTGCAATATTAAACTAGTATTTAGAATTTTATAACTCAATAGCATATATGGTCTTTTAAAGTAATCAAGAACCTATACAATTAAAATTTCATGTTAGTAATAGTAAAACTAAATGATGAGTTTAAAGGTATCACATATGCTATAATCGAGTCAATTATTTATTATCAAGTAAATAATAATTAATATTATGCATTTTATTTGTTTAATTAGTTTTAGGATTTTATATCAGGATGGTCATTTTATAATATTCAAAAGTCTAAAGAGTCATATTAGTTCTAAATCTTTCTAATTAATTTTATTAATCATATATTTTATGTTCATTTTATATACAATTGTAAAAGAACATGCAATACTGAATATGATAAAAACAATTAAAGTTATATTCTAAATCAATTTTATTATAATTCAGTATAGATGAATATTTAGATAATTTTAATACACAAATTTTTTTTATTTTTAATGATTATTATAATATATTTTTATTTAGTTTTATTATATTTTTAGCATATTCTCAGTATATAATAAAAATTTACAATTTAAATGTATTTAACATATTTTAGATATATAATAAAAAAATTATTACATTATATTATAATATGTTTGATATGTTTATAATATATGATTAAAATATGTTAAAAATATTATTAAGTTATATTTCTAACATATTTCTGATATAGAGTTAAAACAGAGTTAACAGAAATAAACCTGTCATATATTTGTTATATTTTAAAATATTTCTAACATATTTTTCAAAATGTAAGATTTCAGTAAAGTGTATATGAAGAAATAAGCATTACTTCAGCTACATAATATCCAACCCACTTTTTGATGAATTGTTAAAACTTAATATTACAACTAAAAAAATTCTTAATATGAATAAACATTAGAAAAAAAATACATTAGCAACTAATTGTTGAATTATATTCTTACTTTCAAATCCCATTACTACTAAGCCAGAATATTCTGTCCTTATGCACAAAATTGCTTAATAATATACTTTGATCAATTTCACTTTTAATTTCTCTATATATACATTGAAAACCTGACTTAAGAGAAGTTTTATCATTGTAAATAACTGTAATAATATATTCTTAGTCATTAATTTTATAACTAATATGTATAAATAAACAATAAAGTACTATAAAATACTTTGTATTTGCAATTAACTTGATATTAACTGTTTCTAACCAATTTCGAGTATAAATTCTATAATGCAAATATAAATCTATTATACCTACACTTAAAGGTTAGGTGTAAACTATCATCTTTTTAATATTAGTGGAGTTAACTTAGTGAAAAATTATATTTAAAAACAACATTTTACATTTAATCAATCATTTTATTCAGTTGATTCACGAATCAGCAATTCTGTTATCACATTTGTCACTATATTTTAAAGATAGATAAGGAAACTGCTTTAATACTAACCTAATGATATGTTTTTGTTTTTATTTAAAATCTTCAGGTAAGACAAAAATCAAAAATCTAGATTTGTAAGATTTACTTATCTGAAATGTAGATGACATACTTTCTTGAGATATGACTGATATATTTATCTCTATATCTGGTAAATTTTTGCCAAAAAAATTTGTAGAAACTTTAATTTTTTAACGTTTTGATTGTGATAGTTTTTGAAGTCACTTGATTTATAATATGCTGAGAAGAAAAAAACATAGAATATTAGTCTTGCAATCTGCCAATAAACTTTTTTATTATTCTATTACACTTCAGGTTTAACAGTTATACAATATACAATTTAAAATTAAGCCAAATACAAATTAACGAATACTTTAATTTGTGTATAAAAAAATTGAGATTGTGCCTTGCAGTCACTTATTTATATATATATAAAAAAAAAGAAAGTAATATTATCTTTTAGATGATTCATTCAATTTCAACTAAATTTCCTTTATCTAAATACTTTTTTTTCAATCAATTCAACCAATACACATCATATTTCTTCTTCAATAGTTCATTATCTCTAACTTCAATTAGCCAAATAATATCAAGGTTAATTAATAATAGATAAAATTTCACATTTTCTCTGCTAACCCAGTCAAAATCTATCAATATCCTATGATACCCTTTACTATTTCTGATAACCAAAATATTAGAGTCATGAAGGTCTACAAAAATAAGATTATTTTTATATAAATGAAGAACGGCCTTTTCAATGTCATTGATAATTACTTCATAATCAGACTAAGTCAAATTAATACAATCACATAATATTTGACCTTCAACAAATTCCATAACTATTATATGAAGTTCAAATTATTCATCTAAAATATAAAACAGCCTTAATGTCTTTTTAATTTTGTAACACAAATTGTATGTCTTTTTATGTATGATGCGTAAACTTAATAATAATCATTTGTTTGTCTTTTATTTCAACCTTTTAAAGAAACTTATATAAATTATCAATAAGTTTTTCCTTATAATTAAATTTTAAATCTTCTATTCTGCGAATATAGGAAAAAAACCTTTGTTCATCTATTATTGAAAATAACAGTGATCTATAATAATTTTTTAACTCATCGCAATTCAGATGCAAAGCCATAAAGAATCATGTAATTTTCTTTAAATGGGTTCGATCATTAATAGTGATAAAAGGTATCAAGTTTGTTAGAGGCTCAATAAGTAGTTTCTCAACATAAATAGCTCCTAATACGTATATTCAGAACTCAGTCAAACCTATAATAAAATACAGCATATTACACCATTTTGAGTATCTATTCATTCTTACTCTGGGTATATAATTTCACAAAAGAAATGGCTACCTGAGTGATCAGATCACATTTACCAATACCAATTTCATTTTTTACTTCAATAAGAAGATATAATATACTCGTTACATACATATTGCATTCTAAAACTCTATTATTTGAAGATTGATTATCAAGCTGAAGCAATTTTACTTTTCATAAAATAATTCACAAATCTTTTCATGAAATTCTCACTGATATAACTTTTCATTGGAATAAATATCTGCCATAGTTTTAATGTAATTAAGGGTCTATTGGAAATAGTTTTTATCTACAAAAAGTTGTTTAGTTTCAAAGTTTATCTGAAAATTGTAAAAAGTAGAATTATATAATTTTAATAGTATACTGACATATTTTGAAAGGCAGTAAATAAGAAATTTTTGATCTTTAATTTGGTATTCATTCAAATTGCTAATTTAGGCAAAAGATGATGAAGAAGGATATTTTCAGATTTTTTTCATATTTTTGCTCTGTTTTGTAAAGGTTAAGAATGCTAATTGAGGTAACTGATTTATAAAAATAAAACAAACACATAACTGTTATGCTAAACTTCTTTTTAGTCAGACTTTCGCTTAGGAGATATTATGAAAACTAGATAAAAGAATCAATATTATGAGATAGAAAACAAAAATGAAACAATGGCTATCATTTTACGTTCACTTACATTGATCAAATTTATTATAATTCACTTACTAGTTACTCTATGATAACATATATGTATTTTTTAGGTAGATTTAATGATAAAAATAGGAAAGAAAAGCAAATAGATATAGCGTGGGCAAGAAAAAATAAAAAAAAATACACTATATCATGTTGACTATTTTTTTTATACTCGTTTACCTTCATTAATTTGTTTAATCACATCTGCAATTACTGAAATAGATCCAAATAGCAGTTTAAATAGGCTGAAATTACAAGTGAACTATTTTTCTTTTAAATGAAAAAAGGCTTTACCAGTGACACACTGTTCATATATTACATTGATATTATTTGCTTCAAGTTCTAAATCAGTTCTAATTCTTTGTAAAAATTCTTTAACGTCATCTCAATTCTATTCTTTTACTATATCAATTGTCAAAAGATTAGAGAGATTATATTTTGTAATATTAGACATAACTATTTTTAGTTTTAAAAATAACGTGAATAAATGAAAAAATTTTTTTTAAAATTATTGAATATATATATATGACACAACTTTAGCAATAACAAGTACTAAAATTTGAGATCATAATATATAGTTACGCACTTTCATATTATGAACGCAATTTATAACATATCATATGATATGTGATAATTTGTGATATTATGATCTTGTATTATATTTTAATTATTTTAACTTGATATTTCTGTTTTAAAAGTAACAGAGCAGGCAAAAAAATTTTTTTAGAATTAGTGGAATATTGTCATAATTAATATGATATCTATTAAGTTTACTAGTATTAAAATGATCAAAGTATACATAGTTATACTTATGTTACTTAGGAGAATTATTTTTAAAGTGTACAATACAGTTATCTTAATGTGATATTTTTATAATCAGGGGTCTGTAAGATACTAAAATTTGAGATTATGACAGAGTTCCTGATTGTGATGATTAGAATCTTGTCATAATAATTGATATGATATTTACTAAGTTTACTAGTATTAAAATAGTCAAAGTATATATAGTTATACTTATATTACTTAGAAGAATTATTCCTAAAGTATGTTATCTTAATATGATATCTTTGTAAACAGAAGTTTTATCATAATCTATAACATGATATTTTGAAATAATATATGATACAGTTATCTTAATATAATCAAAGGTCTTAACAAAATATATATATATCAAGTTAAAATGTATATAAGTATTATAAATATTACAAATTATCACACTATTTAATACTAATAAACTTAATAGATATTATATTAATTATCATGATAAGATTCTAATCATTACAATTAAGAATCTTATTCAATTCTATAACTAGGTTAACAGAAATTATTATATATTCAGAGCTAAAATTTCAAGTATTTTATTTAATAATTAAAAAAAAGTAATATTTTATTTGAAAAAAAATGTAAAAATAGTATTAATAAAAAAAGATTTAGTATAGTAATTACGTAATAATAATTATCATGTATTAAATAGACAGATATATTGATCTAAAAGATTTAGTAAGGATATTCTTAACCTAAATCAGAAATGTAAATATTTAACTTACACTAAGGATATACAATAAATTTTAACAAATTTTATTGAATGAAAATTGATTTATATAATATTATAATTTATACTATTTTTGTAAATAAAAATTAATATTATATTTATACAATTACTACAATAAGAATATAAAAATATTTGCATAAATTTTTTTAAATAAACATAATTTTTGCAAATTTAAATTTTATATAAAAATTCAAAAATTAGAACTTTTTTTTTATTATAGTATAATAATTATTTAATTATTATATATACTATATATACATTAAAATCTGCATTATCTTTAATAATTTCTCTTACTTTTTCTAATGATAAATTTCCATTAAAATCTTGAATTATTAGTTTAATAATTACCTTTAAAACTAATATTCCATATAAATAATTAATTAGTTTTAAAGATTTAATCATTTCAAATGTTAAAATATTTGTTTTTAAAAACAAATTTGCTAAAACTTATATGATAATTATTTTACAAATAAATATATTAAAACATATTATAAAAAAAATATATTTATAAATTAATTTTTACTTTTAATTCTTTACTTATTTTCATTATCATTATTAGTATATTTGCTTTTTAAAATCCAATTTCATTATAAACTGATAATGATAAATTATTAAACTATTTACAATTAATAATGTCTAATAAATCATCTTGAATATTACTAACCTAATTTAATAAAATTTTAAAATTGATATATGTAAGTAAGATAATTTATCTTTATATCCAATAAAATAATTTTTGTTTCTATATAATACATAAACAAAACTCTACACAATCGACTTCTAATATTTTTTTTAAAGAAATCAAAATATTTTAATATAATCATTATTATTATAAAAATAAATTAAATATAAATTTACTTTTTTTTGTAATACTTTTAAATATTTGAGTAATTTTTTTAGTAAAGGATTAGGTAAAGATTAATTACAAAAAAAATATGATAATTCATTTAAAGTATTAAAAAAATTTATCAATTATTATTATATTTAAAATTCATAAGTTTTATAAAATAAACATACCTTTTTTTTATTTTAGCATTTATATCATCTATTTTTATATTCATTAATTTTATTGCAGACATTTGTAATAATTTTGAAATACTTTATATATTAGATTAGGCATATTAAATATATAGTCATCCTTTTAATAATTTGTTATATTTACTTTTTGTTGTATCAATAAATCACTATTACTAACAATTGAATTTTTTTATTTTTTATTTGATAAATTTTTTGTTAAATTTTTTTCCTTAATTAAAATTTTTTAAAATTAATAAAATAAAATAGTATTATATTATTAATAAACTAAAAAATATCAATTATAAATATTTTTTTTTAAAAATTATTATATTTTTAGAATTATACTTTGTAAAGTATTATATTTTATTTGATAAATTTGATAAATAACTTTTAATTTATTTTTCAACAAAATATTATTTGTAAAATAAAATTCTTTGAATAATTCTGAATACTTTTTTATAAAACTTTTTATTTCATAAAAAGTTTTATCAACAAATATTTATAATCTTTAACAATTTTTATTTCTAAGAAATCCAAATGATTTATATTGTATTAAAACAAGATTATTTAGATCTTTTTGCCAATGTTAATAAAATAGTAAATTTGGTAATTTATTTAAATTCATTTGTGTTACTACACAAAATATATATCAATATATAATTTTAAAAAAGATATATATTTGTATAAACACAAAAATAATATTATTATTAATCATATTACACTTTTCTTTCAGATTCATAATTATGATTAAATCAATGAATATGAAATAATTAAATATTTTGAGTTTTAAATAATTAAAAATAAATTAAATTAAATAAATTTTATAAAAATACATTATAATTAAAATATCTTAAATCAAATAATATTATAAAAAATAATTAGAAACTTGTAATAATTATTCATATATTAATTTTAATGCATAACTTATTAATATTTCTGCTGCTTGATATTTAAATAAGTTTATTATTTTTAAAATAATATTAAATTGATTTTACCAATATTTAAATAATTGTAAATCAATATCATGCTATTTTAATACAAATTCAAAATCCTTTAGAAAATCTAAAAGTGAATTTGTTGTATTCATATAATTTTCATAAGATTATTTATTGATTTTCTACGCTATATACTTATCATATCTATTAAAAATAAAGCTTTATATAAACCAGTTTAGCTTGACTTACCACTGGCTCGAGTTGAGACACTTTTTTTCTAGCTCAGCTCAGCTTAGCTTAGAAGATTAATTGATAAGCCAAGCTAACTCATTCAACTTATATTAAATATATCAAAATGAAATACCATCAAGAAAACTTATTCCTATTAAGAAAAACGTTTTCAAAATAATTCCTTTTGAGAGAAATATTTCTAGAATGATTCTATTTGAAAGAAACATTTTCAGATAATTCCTTTTGAGAGAAATATTTTTAGGATGATTCCTTTTGAGAGAAATATTTCTGAAATGATTTCCTTTGAGAGGAACGTTTTCAGAATGATTTTCTTTGAAAGAAACATTTCCAGAATGATTTACTTCAAGAGAAATATTTTCAGACACTTCTCTTCGAAAGAAATGTTTCCTGAGTGATTTCTTTAAAGGAATTCATTTACAGAATATTTTTCTTGAAGAATATTATTTTCAGAATGATTTTCCTAAAGGATTTTATTTTCAGAACAATTTTTTTAAAGGATTTCATTTTCAGAACGATTTCCTTAACGATTTTATTTCTGGAATGATTTTCATGAAGGATTTTATTTTCAAAATTATTTCTTTGAAAGATTTCATTATCAGAATGATTTTTTTAAAGAATTTCATTACCAAAATGATTTTCTTGAAGGATTTCATTACTGAAATAATTTTCTTGAAGGATTTTATTACTAGAATGATTTCTTTAAAGGATTTCATTACCAGAATGATTTTCTTGAAGGATTTCATAATAGAATAATTTCCTTGAAGGATTTCATTACCAGAATGATTTTCTTGAAGGATTTTACTTCTAGAGAAATTTCCTTGAAGAGAATCATCTCTGTAGCTTTTCCTTTGAAGGAATCACATTTGGAATCAAAATCCTTTATAGAAATCACTCTAAAAGCAAATTTCTTCAGCCCTGGATGCATTTTTCTTTAAGAAAATATCATTAGATACGTTTTTCTTTAAAGGAAATGTCATTAGGTTCATTTTTCTTTAAAGTAAACATCATCAGATTCATTGTTTTTCAAAGTAAATGTCACTGAGTTCATTTTTCTTTAAAGAAAACGTCACTGTGGCTGTTTTTCTTTAAGTAAACGCCATTGGAATATTTTTTCTTTAAAGAAAAATCTCCTTTGGATTTTTTTATTTCAAAGAAGAAATGTAAACTAATAAGCTAAGCTGCAGTATGAGCTAAGCTATAGCATAAGCTAGCTTATCTAACTCGTAGCTTATTTTATAATAGCTCAAGCTGAACCTAAAGAGCTAACTCGTTGGCTTACAAGTAGCTCAGCTTATTGCAAAACTTTAACTAAAAATATATTTTTATTTAAACAAGATGCTAATTTTTCTTTTACTTTATTCATTCTTTTTAAATGTGCTTTGTAATCTAAAAAGTCTATTTGAAGTTATTGCCATTTGATTATATAATTATTAATTTTATATTATTTTGTATGTTATAAAATGCTTTTATAAAATTATACCAATTTATTTTTAATATACTACGTAAATTTTTGATTACATTTTTTCAAAGATATCATATATATAATACATGTTTACTATTTTTACTTAAAACATTTTATATAGCTTGAGAAATTGTTTTATTTTCATCTGTAAGTATTACTTTTGGTGAATTATTATTAACCATTTTAAGAAATAATTTAAATATTCATGTAAATTATTAATTGTTTCTTAACATATTAAAGTTCTAGCAAAAATATATACTTTGACCAAAATTGTTTACTTCTGTAAAAATTTTAAATGACATATTAAATTAATTAACTTGTATATATTATTAAAAATAATAACATCTAAATTTTATAATATTGTTATTTTTATTTTAGATACATTCAAATTACTTAAAATAATTCATTTAAACATTTATTAACTTTGATTTCATATTCAAACCCATTAATTTTTCTTTTAAATATTAATAAATTCATCTACTTCAAAAAATAATTTTTAAAGTATTAATAAATTCATTTATTTCAAAAAATAATTATGTAATTTATTATCTAATTAAAATATATAGTTATAAATATTATTATAAATTCATATTTCCAATTCTTAATATTCTTATTTAAGAATAAATTTGATAGTTAATATATTATAATCTGCTTGATAACAAATTTTAATTTAATCTTTAATTTCTTGTAAAATTATTTTTTAATTATTTAAAAATTTTTTATATTTAAAAATTATCATTTCATAATTATATTTCAAATTTATAGCTAAAATATATTAAAGACCAGTTTATAATTTAAATGATGCTTAAATTATAAAAAGATAATTATATCTTTGAGAATGATAATCTCTTTGATGATTTTTTCTTTTTTTATTATACTTATATGTGAATATGATATATATATTATTATTTTTATTACATTTTACTTTATCTTTTCATATTTAAAAATTATAAAATTTAAATAATTTTGAACTTATACTATAAAATTATCATGATTTATAAATATATTTGAAATTTTAATTCAGGAACACACTTTCTTTAAATATATTAGATTTACACAAAAATACAAGTAAAAGTATTATTATTTGTTGTATAATATTAATTTTATTTATAAAAATAGTATAATATGAATCAATTTTAATCTAATAAAATTCATTAAAACTTATTGTATATCCTTAGCACAGATTAAATATCTACACCTCTGGTAGAACCCCAAAAACTTATATTAAATGTAACTGGCAAAAATGGACCAATTTTCTCATTTTTTTACTCAATATTTTGACTATTAACTTTATTTAGTTACTATAGAAACATTTTCATTACCTATAAATTTTACCCTTTTTATTAATCAGTAATCTCAAATATAAAAAATCATTTTTTATTAATAGGTTAACGTTGCATTTATTTATAAATTTGATATTATTTATCTGTTATTAATTAATCAATCATTACAATTTGTATCTCTGTTATCAAAAATAAAAGCTAAATGCAATTGTGTTTTTTCCTTTTTAAAAAAGAATAAATTTCTAATGAATTATCATTAAGTATAAGAAGAGAATTTGAATGTAATATAAAAGGAATATTCATACTCAAATAATAAACAATATCTTTTGATTTTAAATGTACATATAATCTACTCCCAGTTATGCATTCATTTGAAAATAATGAATCTCCATATATATTAATAAATAATGAAACTGAAATATAAGATAATAAATCAATATTATCAATAGTTCCTGTTACAAAACTATGTTTTTCACCTATCATTTGATATATCGCAATAACTTTTGCTATACATAATCTTCTATCAGTGAATACAAGCAAATAGCCATCTTTTTTTAATGGATGAGCCTAAGAAACGTTAGCACAACCTATATTTGTTACTATAATAAATAAATGTAAACATGAAATTATTTAATATTAAAAGTAATAAAGTAAAATTAAAAATTAAGTATTTTTACCTTATATTTTATTAGAATTAACTAGTGACTGTAGCTGATTACGACCTTTCTAACGTTGTATTTTGCTTCTGATAATTTGATAATTTTAATTATTATTTAATTGATTTACCAAATGATTAACCAAGTTTCAGTCAAGTATATCCTGAGATCCCTAATTTAAATTAACAGTTATTTGAATTTGTATTCTACAAGGATAATCAGAATGAGAAAAAGCCTCATGAGATCTTCGCAATTCCAACATTAAAAATATATCACAACTTCCATTCTTTCCAAATATTTTCTCTTCAGGTTCATGATTTAACTCCTATAAAACAGTAATTTTTGGATTATTAATTATGTAATTAATTTCTGTCTTCATTATAAAATTATTAGCATCAGTAGTATTAATTTCTAATAAATCTTCTAAATATTCATAACGTGAATTATCTGAAATATCATTATTTTTAAAATAGTCATCAAGAACATTTTCCAGTTGCGAAATTCTATTCAATTCATCTATAATTTGATCAATAGTTATATTTTGAAATACTTTTTCATTAATCAATAGGTCATTTGTATTAGTTTTGAAAGGTTCAGAAATTAAAGGATTAATATAATTATTTTTTGACTGCTTTTTCATTTGAAGAAAATTTGAAAATTCCTTTGCATTTTCAGATGCAATTCTTATAACATCATTTATATCATCATCTGATGGCCAACTTCGTAAAATTTCAATATTAATATCTGAAATACAAGTATCAAAATCAAAAATATAACTTGAATAATAATTCCTATGGGCCAAAATAAGCAAAACCAAAAATTCTGCTAAACTACAAAATATATTAAAGCTTTGCGATAAAATATAACTTTTGTTCATATTATACTACTTTGATGAATATAATATGTCACATTATTCAATATAATTTTTCCATATGCTTAAAAAGAAATATGCACGTATTGCCATTATAATCCTAGTTTTATAAAAAATATTTCTATTTAAAAATGAATTGAACAATTCGCCTATTTTAAATTCAAATTTGATTAATATATAATTTTATGCAATATTTACAATAAAAGATAATTAAAGAAATTAGTTAATTATCAAATATAAAAAGATATATAAATAAAGCCATTTTATTATGATCTAACTGCTCATTATTTTAACGCTGTGTCAAAAATGTTGAACAAAAAATCCTGTACGCAGCCCCATCATCTTGTTTGTCTATATTTATAACATTTTGTATATATAATGCAGAATTTTCTTGTGTAAGTTGATATATTTGGTCGTATCATATAGTGTAATTTTCTAGAACTAAAAATGAGTTCCACTATATATTGCATTTCTTCCATTCTTTTTAGCATATTTTGGGTTTTGAATACAAATTATGGGTTTTTCAGAGTAAATAGGAGCCTGAAAATGTACATTATAAATTTCATTATCATATGTAAGAAATTCTTGTATATCGTTGCCTTGCATAAGTAAGACTTGTGCATTATATTCTGTAATAGCTCTGTCTGCATCAATACTTATTAGGTTAATATTTGCTTGAATTGACATTTCAACAACTTTCTTTAAAATTGTATAAATTTTTTGAGTTTTGACATTACCCTTTGTCAGTAATAATGCAATGACAACTGAAGGAATTCTGCTAATAGGAATCTATTAAAAAAATATTATTAATTTAAACTATTTAAATTTATAATTTATAATTATATTTTTTTTTTTTTTTTTTTTTTCTTAGGTTCTAGTGATTGGTCGTCTGAATATCCTGACTCTGTGGCTCATATGTCTGATATGTCATTATATCCAGAAATAAGCCCCTCCTGGTTACATTTAAAGCTGGTCTGAACTGCCAAAACACTAGTCTTCGCAACTGGCTATGTATCCTGAATGCCGCATGGCTAATCCCTAATATGGTTAACACGAAGGATTCTGGCTAATTACTGAAAAGAGGAGTCTTTATTAACCTAATTCAGAATAGCTGTCTAACACAGTTAATACGCTCAGATTATCAAAATCATTCCGAGAATTGAACTCAAGCCTCTCAAACCCTAATTGACTCATAGACGCCACGGTACTTCAACTAGAAGCTACCTATAACCCATGACTTTTGTTCAATCTAAGTTATACAACGTCTACCATTGACCTGTTATGTCTCGTTATTGGTAATAACCCCCTTGCAGACGATGCGGCACTTGCCCATTATAGGTCAGCTTCTAATAGAAGTTCCAAACTCAATCAGTTCTGTGTAATGTGATCACTTGCATAATCACACAGGTTCACTATATTCTACAAGTTCGTGATCTTTAACGCACATGGTTTGTGCGCATCCTATGAAATTCATTTCCAGAATTGAACTGGTAAAACCTGCAGTAAATTAATACTGCAATCTGTACTTGACAGGTACTGAACTAGTATCTATTATAGTGTAACCTACAATAGGGACTCATGCCTTGCAGCATAAGCCAGGGATACCAATCCCTTTTATAATTATATTAGTTTAAATTACCTTTATAACAACACATCTTACTTGTGATGCAATGGCTTTATTATCTTGAATTTCTTTAATTTTCAAATGGATATCATCATATATTATTACATTTGTACTATTAAAGCCTAAAGTTGATCCAACTATACATCCTAGCTCTTGTGAATAGATTAATTTAATGCGAATTTTAGTGTAATCTATCATAACAATCACGGGTCTTATCCATTTTAAAGCCTCTATAGCACAAGTAAACTGAGCCACATTTTCATACATAAAGTTAGAATTAGTTAAATAATCACCATTCTGAACACGTAAATATCTACATTTTTAAAACTATTATATTAAATTTTAATTTAAACTGATTGTTATTAACAATATATTTATTACCTTATAGATCGTGAATCCATTCCTCCTAATATTTTGCAAAATATACTATATTCTCTACTACTATCTGATAACAAACTGAAAAAATGATGAAGATGCTCAGAATATCGCAATGCTCTTTTACTTTTACCCTGTTCTTGAATTTTTTAATTTGAAGCATTAACTCTACTAATTCACTAAAAGGTTTATTTGTTTTAAATGCATCTTTTTTTTCATATTCAGCCAATTTTGTCTACATATTATATTTATCTGATTCCTCATCAATTGCATTTCTATATAAAGTTTTTAATTTATCATCACCTAAAAGTTGAACCAATCTATTATCTTGAATATGCCGTTTTGAAATATATTTAAATGTTTTTTCTGTTACACGTTGAATACTGATTGCATCACAAAAATGGAAATTATTTTTTAATTTATTATACTCTTTGTATATTTTAGATTCACAGACAGTAAAATTCTCTCAATCTAAAAACTAAGTCGCATGTGCTCTTTGTAAATTATAAAGCTCTTGTCGTTCATTAGGATTTAATTTACTATAAATTAGATATCCATCTTTAAATTTTTGTGAAAATAGCTGATAAGCGAATTCTATTTCACATTTTGATCTACTAAAGTCAGATGAACAACGAAGTATATACTGTTTAATTTGATTATTTGATAATCCTTGACAAGAAAACTGCATTGATAATGGTATTTCATTACTACTGGATTTAAAATATTTTTCAATGCTATGTTGACTTTATACTTTGATATTACATGCTTTTTTACTATATACATGACTTTGAAAAAAAAATAATTAATTAAATAATTTTTAATAAATAATCAAATATAAATAATTTTTAGGGCAATGACAGATATTACATAATATCTTAGGAAGTGGGGGGTAATGGGGGTCCTTATGGAAGATCTTACGTAATATATAATATCGAGATCATGTGAGCAATATGATAATTATTATAATAGCGGCTTAGCAAAAATTTATTAAACGCGTATTTACAAATACGCATTTATACAGATCACATACACACATATATACTTTTATAATAAAATATTATTTCCCATCTGAATTACAAACCCTTAACTCGAACTCCATTTCACCATACGATCCTGTTTGTTGAGATGGAAGAAGAGAGAAATCATCAAAGGCTTGTTGTTTTTTAGGCTGTCCTCAGGTAGTAGAATGTATTAATTGTTTATAATTTGTCAAAAATATGAAAGTGAGAAAGTATTTTTGGCAAACAGAACAGCAAAGTCGTAAGTATATATTTTTTTCAATTGACGTACAATGTGCATTATATTCTGGTATTTTCAAGAGATCGTCATATTGAAGAAGATGAATAGAATTTATAAACCGGCCATCTTTAGCTTTGATAATAGGTGGTAAAAAGCCATTATGTAGGTAAAGAAAGTTCATAGCTTTCTTTGCTCTGGGTGATCCACAGCAACTGGTATTTGTGTATCGTTTAATATCAAGAGAGTAGGTGCATAAATTACAATGGGTTTTGATCTAAGACCATAGTACAAAAGATTCAAAAAAGGTATGTGTTATTTCTTTATCTGTATTTTTTGATTTTTTCTGTTCTTTTTTTCTCCATTTTAATTCTTCAACCTTTTCTTTTTCTATTCCCTCTAATTGTATATGCTCAAATGGATTCGTGAGTACATCAACATAATGAGCATCAACCTTCTTTCCAAAAATTAAATCACAATACCAAATTTTACATAAAGCTTCTCCTGCATAGCGAAAATTTTGAGCAGCCAATTCTGTATCTATAACTTTTTCTTGCATATTCAAATATGTACCATAATGGTCAATTAGTAAAGTGATACTAGCAAGTTTACTAGACAATGTTGCCATACCTTTTTTAACTGGATTATATTTTGATTGCCCTAAAGCATGTGTTCACACACTTAAAAAATCTAAATCAAACTTTTTGAAAAGTTGGCAATAGGCCTTAATATTTTTTAAGTGTCTAAGATTCTCATTTAGCCCTCTATTTACCAATAAGATCCATATCGGTCAAATTTTTCCATCCGTTTTTAATGTGCCTTCATATTGGAGATTTAAGGTAAGGCTTTCCAAATCTTGCATATGTGTAAGTGAGAATGTTCTAAGAGACCAATGAGAATGTATAAAAATTGCTAACTGTCCTGTCCGCAATTCATCATTAGATTCATTTGGGTTTATCATCAAATACACTGACAGAATTAATTTCTGTCTGAACCTTACAGAAAAATCGTGATCTGCTATAGTTGTAGATTCATTAATGGATTGCAATGTACGGAATGTGTGACCTATTGCAAACACTTCAAGACCGATTTTTGCCTTATCATCTTGAGAGATGACAACTGAAATATTAGCAAAAGTGCTAGCAAATTGCTTTGTATATTTTACTGACGCGAGGCAATAGTGACTATCAGGATGTTCACGCATTTCAGTATATAAAACTTCGGCAACAGCAACCTATGCCAGATGGTGATGTGCTTTCGTGGCGATCGAATTTTCTTGACGAGGTATTAAATAATTATTTAAGGTAGTTCTCGTCATATAGATATCATATTTTTCTTCAAGATTTTTGCGTAAATTTTCTATGATCTAAACTTTAACAGCTTCTTTTCATCATTTTGCATCTGCTAATCCAAATTCTATACAATTATGTATACGGTCATGCAAATCCGGATGCTTGAAGAGAAATGATGGCTTTCCAGATTTATCATAACAGACAATCTCCTGATTTTTGATAAGTAATTTTAGTTTTTTTTCTCTGCAATTTTGAGTATATTTGGCATTTCTTTTTAACTTGGTAATTTTATCTTTATTAGATTTAATTTCG